TCTCTCTCTCTCTCTCTCTCTCTCTCTCTCTCTCTCTCTCTCTCTCTTCAGCGTGATGTCTGACTGCGCTGTAAGTCGGAGTCGTCCTTTGCCTCCGACGAACTCCCATCTCCCTACTGGCCTTCGCATTCGGAGTCGTCCTCTTCCTCCAACGAGCTCCCATCTTTCTCGCCGCCATCACTGCTGCCACGGCCACCTCCACTTTCATCGCTGCTGTCGCTGCCATCACTCGCACCTCCGCTGCCGCTCCCGTCATTTTCATTATGCTCAGCCCCGCTTTCGTCGCTGCTGCTGCTTCCGTCGCTGCTGCCATGTTTGTCAGCGCTGCTCGTCTTTTCAAGCGCTGCTTCCTCCTCCTCTTCGGCGGGCTGCACCTGCAAACGTCCCCGCTTCCGTGTCCCCCTTCCATTTCCAACCTCCTCTTCCACATGCGCCTTCCGTGGTCGTCCCCGCTTTCTTGTCGCACGTGTGGGTGCACCAACCCCTTCCAAATCTCCACCTTCCGCATCCTCAACTTCCTCATCACCTGTCCCCCCATGAGTCGCAGCGTCCTTTTGAGATCTCCCTCTCCCTCGTTTGGCGGGTACGGAGGGTGGTGCACATGCAGCAGCCCGCGCAGCTTTGTACGTGTTGGCATGCTCGAGGGTCATGGTCCTGGTAGCCTGATCCAAGTCATGCAAATGCTGGCGGGCCAAAAACATGGAAGCTTTCGTTGCCTTCCTCCACGACTCGTTGAGCTCCCTCTCGAGCTCGAACAACTTGCTGCGCAGCCGACGATGCTGAATTGTGACCTCCTCCGCAACAGCCGTTTGTTGCGCTTGGACAAGAATGTCCTCCTCGTCGCGGAGCCTGAGTCGTCATTCTCACCTTCGTCGTGGACCGAATGTGTTCCGCGCAAGCGGGCACGCCACTCCCCCAACCGCAGGCGTGCATCCGACGCTATCTCATCTCGTTTGAGATCTTCCACCGGCTCATCCTCTTCCCACTTCGCCGCATCGTCAACCTTCGGTTTCTTGGTCAAGAAGTCCAACAAGTGCTGGTTCCATCTGTTGAAAACCAGCGTGCTTAGCTTGACGGCGCCAAGATTGTTGCGGAGACGGCTGTGAATCCATTCGAACAAGCTCCAATTCCTCTCGCAACTAGAGGAGGAGGAGCCTTGTCCAAGGAGCCGAACGGCTTGCTTTTGGAGGATGGGCATGTCGCTGCACCACTTCCGCCACCACCTCGCCGGCTGCATCGTATGGGCTTGTGTCCTCGCATTTTCGGTAGTGTGCCTCCCGGTGCCCTCGATCCAAGAACAGACCTCCGCGTCGACCTCCCTGTACGCAGCCTCCTTGCACCACGAGTAAAGCCATGTCCAAAACCTGTCCACAATCTCTGCATCGGATTCCGGCCGCGACGCTCTGTACTCCGGATCCAAAAACAGCGCAGCACAATGCAGTGGTGTGAAGTCATTGTATTCCAGCGCCGCATTATTATAGCCTCTAGCTCATCCTTTTCTGCTTCCGTGAAGTGCCCGCTCTCCCTCAGTTTCTCCACAGCGCTGTCCATACGGGCGTACACCTTACTGATGGTGGGGCCCGCGCCGTCGACCTTCTTTAGAAGATCGAGGAGGTTCTCGGAYGTTTGCATCACCTTCTCGATATCTGCCCAGAAGGTGTCGTCGAAGATGGCATGTGTCACCCTCACAAACAGTTCGTGTTGCGAAGTGTGCACAATCGCTGGCTTCCAATCATTGTCTGTCAAACACGCTCGCAGCGGCAAGTACAACCCTTGCAGGCTCGACAGCATGATGAAGTTCGTGGCAAACCGGGTCGCACCTGGTTTTGCCACGACGTTGCCATTGGAGTAGTGGAGGAGGAGATCCTGCACCCGTGAAAGGTTCGTGAAGAACTTTGCCACCTCCGACGCCCTTTTAATAACTTCGCCCACCCACGTGATCTTCGCGAAAGACTCAAAAATTAGGTCGAGCGAGTGAACTGTGCATGGGACCGAGAAGATGTGCGGGTGATCCGCTTCCACCATTCGCCCCGCAGCTGCACAAACGGCAGCATTGTCCATAATGACCCCCACCACTGCCTCCGCACCTATCTCCTCTATTGCCCTCTTCAGAATGCCATAGTATGCCGAGGCGCCTTTGTTGCGCCCTGACATGCACACACTTCGCCAGAAGATAGAGCCCTTCGGGAAGGAGACCATCACATTGATGTGTGGTCTTTGTCGGCGATCTGTCCAACCATCAAGCTGCAACATGCAGCCAATGGTTGGCCACTCCTGCCGCAGCTCCTCCACCCTCATCCCGACCCTCCCCCTCGTCACTTCGACCCTCTTTGTCCTTGCAGTCTCGAATTTCGCGTACCGGAATCCTTTGGGCGCATTCATGAGTGCATGCACCATTTTGTCCCAGTACTCGCTCCGCATCATATTGAATGGGATGCATTCTGCCGTCATCCAGTCGTCCACTGTGTGCTGTGTTTGCTCGTGCGCCGTGATAACGGAA